TTTGAATTTTTTATTCGAGTTGAGATATGACTTTACGTGAGAGATTTTTACTTTAACAAAAAGTTAGATGTGACTGTTTCTGAGAGTTTTTTACTGTAGTAAAACTCGAATTATAAACTCAAATCGATAAAATGAACGGGATTTAAGTGTTTGTTACATTGATCTTAGTATTTCTACAAATATAAGATTGTGGTATATTATTTGAGTTTAATAAAAGACCATCCTTATTAAAGTTTTAAAGTCTTCTTATAAGTTTTTTTTTTTTTTTTAAGTCACATTTTATAGCTTTTACTGGAAGTTTTTTTTAAGAGTTAAAGGTTTTCTAAGAAAAGTTATCCTTACGCCCGTAAAAACAAGTTTTAGACCAGTAAGCCAAGAGCAAATTAGGGGAAGCAGTGACAAATATTCTTATTATTATTAATATTATTTTTGTTAATTATGGGATTCTCCAAATAGCTAAGCTATTCCTGGTTAAGTAACAAAATAGTATAAATCATATGAGTAATAATAGTAATTTTAGTCTCGTGTTTTTCTTAATTAATTTTCATTTAGTACTCATCATTAGCCAAGTTTGACGTAATTATAAATTAACCAATGAAAGAGATTGATGCCCATCATGAGATTAATTTACACCATTGGTCTCTTTCCTTAATTCCTTAAACAAAGGAATTATCTGAAGTGGATGGCATTATAAGTCACTTAGTCAGCAAACACGGTTCCATCAAATCCTAAAGGTCCACAAATGTAATAAGTAAAACCCACTAAAACGATATTAAAAAAAAAAAAGACACACACACAAAACACCCACAATGGATGGAAGGAAGGTGAAAACTATAAAACTTAGCATCTCTTAAAATGTATACAGTAAAGTGATAAAAAAAATGAAAAAAAAAAAAAAAAAAAAAAGAAAGTTCATTTACGGATCCAAAGAAAAAGTATTTTATACTTCAAGTTGACGAGTCAATGCACCTAGCCATCATAAATCTTACATCTAGAGGTGCTTAAATAGCCAAAGTAATTGTGCTCCAAAAAGAATAATTTTGTGCGTGCTAAGTCATTATTGAAATATGTACTGTTTTATGTTTTCATGTGTTTAAAATATTACCTTTAAATAAAAATAAAAAAAATTATCTTGATGTCCTATTCTATTTCTGCATGTATGATTAGTCATTGAAAGTTGAGTCGAAGATTGTGAAATCGTTTAGTACTAACGCGAAATACACTAATATAGTATTTCAAATTAGCAAAATGAAATCTAATGCAGATGATCTAATAAATAACTCGTATACTTGGGCCTCGTTCACTTCGCGGATTCGAGTTTTCAAATCGAGCTGAGATGTGACATTTTCTGAGAGCTTTTCACTGTAGTAGAAAAAGTTAGATGTGACATTTTCTGAGAGCTTTTTACTGTACAAACCTAAAACTGAAAACTCGAATCGGTAAAATGAACGAGACCTTGGAATTGGGCGTAAATTTTATTTGTAGTTACTAATTAAATCTCGTTTATTTCACCGATTCGAGTTTTCAGTTTTAGATTTTTACAGTAAAAAGCTTTCAGTAAATGTCACGTCTAACTTTTTCTGTTATAGTGAAAAGCTCTAAAAAAATGTCACATCTCAGCTCGAATTAAAAACTCGAATCCGCGAAGTTAATGAGGCCTAGATTGTCAACTATTTGAAAGTACATGTTTAGTAAGTATAACGAAACTCCTAGTACGGCAGCATTCACGTGGTTATGTAATATATGTTAATACCTTTTTTTAAGTGCAAAAAGCACATAAATAAGTGTCCAATTGATATTAGGTTACATTAGTTTATCATGCTGGTTTGAAGTTTTGCTAAAAGAGACAAAGTTTGGGAGGTGGGGGAGAGGGAGAGTGGGTGGGTTAAGCAAGTGGGTATGGAGATGGTGGCTTAGGGAGGTTTTTCCACTTGCAATACTTAATGATGGTGACTTTGAATTCTAAAGATGGGATATATATATATATATATATATTTTTTTTTTTTTTCTATGAGGAAAAAAAGTGAAATTTCATATTATTTTAATTAATTAACTAATAAAAATTACAACATGAGTTTCGCTTAGCATCTTAATATAAATATTCATTATTTGTACATGATAAGGGGTTATCCCCATCCATCCGTTCTTTTTTTTGTAGTGTTGGATGCAATCATGTACTTACAAATCATTTACCTTGTTTCTCATGATTTTGCCACTGTGATTTTGATTGCCACTTGTCCATATAAAGGACTTTGGTTGGGAAAATTAATGATAATTTGGATTTACTGCATACAACAGATATCATGTACGCTTGGATATATTATTTTTCTTCTTTGAATCTTGGCCGTTTAGTTTGAATCACAATATAAATTTTTACTGTAATATTTTTTTATAAAAATTTAAATTTAGTTTTTTTTTACTATAGTATTTTCTCTTACATGAATTCACTTTCTTAACGAAAGAGCAAAACGAACGAGACTAATATTATATTGAACATCTTGAGATAAAATGAAAAAAAAAAAGTGAAAAAAATGGAGATACTTTATTCATACTTCCTTGAATATTTTACTGTGATATTGTTGTTCGATTAATAAAGGATATTATTTTCCCAATTTTGAAGTTTTGTAACAATTTATTTTTAAAATTTTAAAATTAACATGTAACACACTGATAAAAAATAATAGAGGCACTTATATGAAACAAAAAAATAGAACAAATAAAGTTTATTATCATATATTGCGACCACAGTATCCCTCCTCTTTTGAGGATCGTATTGAATATAGAAATATGAGTTTAATTAATTGATCTAATAGTGCACAAAAAAAAAAATTATCTCGACGAGAGAATAGATTGATCTTAAAACAACAATTAATTACTATTACTACAAGATAAGCTGTCTTTTATCTTTGTTATCATTTCTTATTGATCGGAATCAATTTGAGAAAAACAAGTTGACTCTTAAAATTATTGGTCATAAAAAATAAATAGACTTGCTTCCCAGTCTCACGGTGCAGCCGTCTCAAATGATGATGGCGTCTAAAGCCTCCAAAGACATTTTTTTCACTTTAATTTTATGGGTTTTTTGTAAATTCAAATTATTTTCTGAGTTTTATCCACAAAATCAAAGAAATTAACATATTTATTGCCATTCTAACTTGGAGGGAATAAAAAAAAAATATACTTTGAAATTTGGACATTATCCCAAAGCTTTAGGGGAAACTAAAATGGACTGTATTTATTGTCCCTTTCGAAGTTCCAAATAGTAATTATATTGTGCCTATACATGATATATATAACTTTGTTTGAGCTCAAAGAAAAGAGGAATCGAACAAAAATAAAAAAATAAAAAGTTAAAAATGGACACCAACCCTGGAAAAAAAAAAAAAAGAGACACCAACTAATGTTTTAAAGAATCATGAGATGCTGCAAAATCATCAAATGGGAAGGGATGGATAAATTGGCGTGTTTGGTGGATAGAAATGTATACTTACTTTTAATAAAGATTAAAGAGTAATTGCAGCACCCATACATTTTTTGTTGGTTATTTATGAGTTACATTTAAATTCTTAATTTCAACATTTGAGACCCTAAATATGACCATTTTTTATAATATTATTCAATTGATAATGGACTACAATTTGAATGACAATTAAGGTGCAAAACGCACAACTTCTAAAAGTTTAGGATCCAAAACTTGTCAACAAATTAATAGTGTAGGGGGTGTACTTGTGTAAAAACGTAAAGGCCTATTAGTTGACTTTCATTAGCTGTTAGATATCACAATTACAATCAATTTTTAAATTTTGAGGGTCTTATTACACCAAAGTAAAAGTTAAGAATTTAAATTACCAAACAGAATAAGTTAAGATTACACCAATATAATTAAGAATTAACCCTTTAATAAATTTAAGTGGGAGAGATCTAGCAATTTGTCTAGAAAACAGAAATAATAGCTCATTGCTCATTGATTTGAAAAATCTGGATCGCATTATTCCTCATCCACTTTCTTCTTTTCTAATAGACAACGTAATTATGATCTAAAAAGTCAACAAAAAGACAAGTCCATATCGGTCAAGCTTCGTAAAACTCTCAAAACCCCCCTCTCTCTAGTTAATGTGGCATAATTAGTAATCCACAACCACCCCACCACCACCACCACCACACCAAAACTGTAATTAACAAAAAGAGAAAATTCCAAAAAAACTAACATAAGCAAAGTAATAAATAACATTATTTTTCTTTACATAAAATCTGTAGAGACTTTTTTTATAACACTAATGTTCTTTATTTATCAGTCGTCACATATGTATTAAATATGATTAAAAATTAAATTAAATTAAAAAATAAAGTAAGTTTGACAATTAATAAATGAAAAATACTGATATTAAAAAAAAAAAAAAAAACACCCATTCCCTTACACTGAAGAAATTCTCAAATATTTATTAAAGATACAAAGTCAAGCCCAGCTGCGGGGAGAGTACTCCGGAAACCTCGAGTTGACAAAAATACAATTACGCGGGACAATAATGAACTGCCAAGTGTCAGTCAACCTTTACTTGTAATCAATCACATCCAACGGTGAACATGGCACTCTTTCCAAGCACACATATTTTTTTGCTGAACCTTTTCCAAGCACATATTTATTGGCCTTTTTTTTTCCTCCTCTTTTATTTTATTTTTCCCTCTTTTGACTTTGGATCCTTACCAGAATTTATGACCTCCTTCATGATTTTACCACTCCCAAACGCGCTTTACCCCGGGGGCGCGCAAACACCAAATCCTCGGTTGAAAGTCGGAGATCGTCACTCGTTGCCCACTTGCAACAGAGCGTGGTATCCACGCTCACCTACAGAAGGTATAACATGGAATAATCAGAAAGCACTAATCTAAACCAAAACCCAGGAGTTTACTTAAACGCAAAACTTTAGTCAACGCCCCACACGGAAAAAAAAAGAAAATATAAAGAAAAGAAAAGCAATATACATTTTTGTTCTGTAGAATTGAATATTGGAAAGAAAAAAAATGTGTTTTTCTCATTCAAAACATCCACCCAATAGTCAACGCCTCTCTCTTTCCTATACTTCTCCTCTTCTATTCTTCTCCTTCTTCTTCTTCACCTCGTTCCAACTTTTTCTTTCTGTCTCTCTCTCCGAGGGGAAGAATCGGCCATGAGATTTCAATCCCAGTGATCTTCACTGGTGAGTAATTCTCCCTAACAAAATTCAATTTTTTCGTTAAATTTTTTGTTTTCCACATGGGAAACGGCTTTGGGAAGCTGACCGTGTGCTTCACCGGCGGCGGAGACGCTCGCCGGAGGCACGACATACCGCTCTACCTCCCCGACCCTCTCGACGAGGGACTGGGCCACTCCTTCTGCTACGTACGCCCCGACCCGACCCGATTATCATCCTCCAAGGTCCACTCGGAGGAAACGACGACGTTCAAGACCATCTCGGGCGCCTCCGTCAGCGCCAACACGTCGACGCCTCTTTCGACGGCGTTGATCGATCTCTACTCCTATAACAGCATCGACCGCGCCGCCGCCTTCGAGAGCTCCACCTCCTTCGCCTCGATCCCTCTGCAACCGATCCCGAGGAACTTCATCGGCTCCGGCCCAATCTCCGCGCCCTTCGGGATCCCCAGCTCGGGTCCTCTCGAACGGGGATTCATGTCCGGCCCGATTGAGCGTGGGTTCATGTCCGGGCCGCTCGACCGCGGACTCTTCTCCGGGCCGATGGATAAATCCGGTCCCGACACGAACAACCAGTTCCAGCGGAGCTTCTCTCAGGGAGGTTTCGCTTTCAGACCTAGATCGGCGAAGGGGAAGCTGATTCGTGCCCTGAGAAGGGCGATTTCGAAGACGATTAATCGGGGACAGAACTCGATCGTCGCTCCGATCAAAGGTCTAAGCTTGTCGTCGGTGAAAGAGCCAGAGTGGAATTTCGGACTGGAGAAGCACAATCACCACCACAACGAGAATCTGACCGTTAGTAGTCTCAATTTGAGCAGCGAAGGGAGTTTGGAAGACGACGATTCGTTCGAGAGTCAAAATCTTCAATGGGCGCAGGGGAAAGCAGGGGAGGATCGGGTGCACGTCGTCGTTTCGGAGGAGCACGGTTGGGTCTTCGTCGGGATTTATGACGGATTCAACGGTCCAGATGCGCCGGACTACCTCCTTTCCAATCTTTACTCGGCGGTGCACAAGGAGCTCAAGGGTTTGCTTTGGGACGAGAAATTCGAGCCGGCCTCCGCCGCCGCAGCCGCCGCCGCGACTTTTCCAGATAATCCGAATTCGGAGGCGGCGGATCAAGATTCGCTTCCGAGTGTTGCTGATAGCGATTTGGGAGGGAATCAAGTGGGGGACGATGCTTGTTTCCAGTGTGTTGAGCAAGAGAATAATCTCCCCTGGGCAAGTGGCGATGATGGGAATTGCGTTTCAAATTCGAGGCGGAAAAAGTGCCAGAGCGGCTCCAAAAGCAAGTACCGAGGGGACGCCACCAATAAATGGGAGGATAATCAGAAGCGATGGAGGTGCGAATGGGACAGGGAGAGGCTGGAGCTGGATCGGAGGTTAAAGGAGCAGCTGAATCGATCCGGTTCCGACGGCGGGGGGGCGATCAATCACTCCGACGTGTTGAAAGCTCTTTCCCAGGCGCTGAGGAAGACAGAGGAGGCTTATTTGGATATTGCAGATAAGATGCTCGTGGAAAACCCTGAATTGGCTTTGATGGGTTCTTGTGTTCTTGTTATGCTTATGAAAGGAGAGGACGTGTATGTGATGAATGTGGGGGATAGTAGAGCCGTGTTGGCACAGAAATCGGAGCCCGACTATTGGCTCGGCAAGATCCGACAGGACTTGGAAAGGATCAATGAAGAGACTTTGCATGATCTTGAATCCCCGGATGGTGAAAGACCAAACACGATTGCCAGTTTAACTGCTCTTCAGCTTACTAAGGATCACTCCACCAGTGTGGAAGAGGTGGAACTTCATTTGCTCTTGGAAATCAAATGGTTTTCATTTTTTTGGTATTATTTTTGAGCTTAAGCTTATAGGTGTTTGTGTTTATCTTTTTCAGGAAGTTCAAAGAATTAGAGAGGAACACCCAGATGATTCCTGTGCCGTGATCAATGACCGAGTTAAAGGTTCATTGAAGGTCACTCGAGCTTTTGGTGCTGGTTTTCTTAAACAGGTACTTACTGCTCTATCCATTTTACAATTGCTGGTAATAACTAGGCCTGTATAGTATAGAAACAAAATGGCTTAGGAAATGTCAAATGGGATTCTTTTAACTTGGTCGAATGTTGTTTATGTCTAATATATACGTCAAAATGTCTGCAGCCCAAATGGAATAATGCACTCTTGGAGATGTTCAGAATCGACTACATAGGGACTTCCCCTTACATCACTTGTTTCCCATTTCTCCACCACCACAGATTAGGCCCAAAAGACAGGTTTTTGATATTATCGTCTGATGGGTTATACCAATACTTCACAAACGAAGAAGCTGTTTCAGAGGTTGAACTCTTCATCACATTGCAACCCGAAGGAGATCCTGCACAACATCTTGTTGAAGAAGTTCTCTTCCGCGCCGCAAAGAAAGCTGGTAATTAGACTATACACTTGACCGCCCAACCAAAGCAACATTCAAAAATATTGATTTCGAAATCTTATGGTTTTGCTCATTCCATATCACTAATGTCATTGTTAATTTGAATCACAGGAATGGACTTCCATGAATTGCTCGAAATACCGCAAGGGGACCGAAGGCGGTACCATGATGATGTTTCAATCATTGTTATTTCTTTAGAAGGAAGGATATGGAGATCATGTGTATAAACAGATAAAAAACACAGGTAGAGGATTATAGAGACATCCGCGCAAAAAAAAAAAAAAAAGTCAGGCATTTCCTTTTTTTTCATTTTTGCCCTCGGTTTTTTTTCCTGGTCACCTTTGTAACATACCAATTAAGCTTCAGGGGAGTGCCTGAGGAACTTGGTTGTGCAGCTTACTGGGTGGTGAGGACTGTAAAGTTGTAAAAGCTGGTTCTTGTTGAATGAATATAAACTGTCATAGAAGAAATTGTAATTTTCTAATAAATGACATTCCTTTTTGGAAAAAAAAAAGATAAAAAGGGGTTTTCTTCGGCATTATCACTACCGTCACTTTCTTCAATTCTTTTATTCACAACTATTTGCAGTTGTCAACGCTTGTCATCTCAGCATCTGCATCTTTCTATTTCTATATCCTTTACTCTTTACAAACAATTCGATACTTTGGTTTCCCCAACATTATGCCTTAAGAGAAAAAATACTAGGATTATGTACACAACGCATAATATAGCAGCCCTTTTGCCTTTTCGGTATGACAATCCCACAGTAGTTGGGCCAAAAAGCTGAGCACTTTACCTTGTTCTAAGATCAAAAACTAAAGAAAGTTATCTTTGTGAGAAAAAAAAAATGAAGGCTTGTCACTAGAAGTAATCTCAAGGTCTATTGTTCAGTATTGGTGTTAAGTTTAGCCATTCTAAGCACAATTTCGTTAAATGTTCTTTTCATAGATTTGAACCATAAATCAAACCTTTTCGTTACATTGTCTTCTATCAAAACAATGGGTTTTGAGTAAAATACCGGATGACGATACCAATTAAAGAACAGTTGAGTGAAAGATTGAATCATGTCGTAAGCACTGGTCGTGTTAAATGAAAAACAGACATCGGGAAGCTAAAATCATGAATGGATTTCAAACCAACCTCCATCAGGGTAAAAATTTCATCTTTATTATTGCAGTCAATAATTGAAGAAGTCAAGTAAGAGTCATAAATAAGTACTGGTGTTTATCATAAAAATAGGAACACCCTCATTGAAAGCATGGATACTACTACTCCTCATTGCCTCAAAAACAATGAAACCTACTGCGGAAAACCCCATTTATGTTATATGGTTTTTGTACATGCATCTAATGCATTTTCCCTCATGCCAACGGAGAAGGTTTTTTTTTTTTTTTTTTTTTTTTTTTTTCAAGGGGGCTTTGGTTGGGGGATTTAATGATAATTCTCTCAACTGTTATCTACTTCTGAAATTTATAGTAAATGCAGGGCAGTTGGTTGAGGTGGATATTAAGCTCATAAATAATTAAAGAGCTGTCATGTTGTCATTGAATCAGAATCCCACGGTTTCCGTTCATGTCCTGCTATACGGACTAGGCCTTTCCCAAGCAATTCCTTCATTGATGAGAAAAGGGGCACCGCTAGTACATACAAATTTTGGTCAGCCAATTAAATTTTATTGACCTTCTAGGCGAAGGTTTGACTTTTGAACCATTTTCAGAAACTAGGAAAAAAGAAAAAAATTCCTTCCCTCATTTTCAGAAGTTAGATAGAAAACAAAAACTCTTCCGAAGAAGTTCATAAAATACCATAAGAATAATCACTTTTAATTGACATGATATATTTTATCATATGTGGTGTTGTGTGGAAAAATTCACATCGACACGTCGGACAACGATCAGGCCACACGTGGTCCCATACCTGTCACGTTAATTAGCTCTCGACGCCCGAGCCTCATTGGTCTCTCCCGTATGGCATGAGAGCCGAATGCATAAGGCCTGCGAGACCAGCTCGTGCAAAATAACGTGATAAAGTCGGCTGTGAGAGAGGCTACCCTCGGCAGATTTTGGCATGGGCGCAGATGGCAGAACGCAAGCAACTGGATCCACATCCCAAGGAAGACCCCTGAGGAGATCAACTAAATATCTCAATATTGCGTCTAAGTTTGGAGAAAGTCAGTTGTACAGGAAATGATTACAAACCCCTAAAACCGCTTGGAACGGATCACTATCTATTACAGGGGATCTGTAGAGCCGTAATGGGGGACAAATTGGATGAGTGAACTGTCCAAAAGGTAATGACAGGCTACGGTCTGAACAAATGAGGCCACAGGCCACTTGAGTGGATGAGCCCTATGAAAGACATGGTCAAATGGTCCAAACCGCCTACCATTGGGCAAAAGTTCATGTAATATCCACTATAAAAGGGGAAGAGCCTCCATGAGAGGCTTTGGGATCTTTTTTGTATGTGTAATTTGTAAGAACCAAAATAAGAGAAATACAATACAGTGGATGTAGCTCTTTTTGAGAAGGCTGAACCACTATAAAACCTCTTCGTCTTTATTTTCATAAGGGACATAATGATTTCTTTTCATAATACACAATCCAAATTCTAGCAAATTCAGTAAAATCACAAGTTTCAAACCGGTAACCCAACGGGCTACCGCGGGTAATCCGATAAAGTATTGTTGACGAAAATCGACCGTCTAACATATGGTATTTTAATTGATGTAGACATGATATGTTTTTATTTTATGATCTATTTTATAATTGATCTCAATTCTCACGTAACATTATTAAGCAAATATGACAAAAGACCGGAAGAATGCGGCATAAGAATTGAATCCACCCTATTAATAGTTTAAAGACTATATAGACAAAGAGAAAGGAGAATGCCAAACAGTAAAGTGTACAAGGCTATATTCCACTTTTGAAGTTTAGTCATCCTTGTCACTTTGATTAAGTTTTTCACAAACATAGGGGCTGGTTAGCTCATAGCTACATACAATTTGAATTATGAGCTCATTCCAAATTAGTGTTTGAATGCACTAATTTTAATCTAAGTTTGAACCATAATGTGACGATTTAAACCGGATTTATATTACAAGTTTATATAAATCACATTTCTCAAAATTTACCATTTAAACCACTGCATCTCGAAACTGCAACCAAACGAAGTCTCATAGTGTATTTGAATTCTTAAGGGGACGTTTGGTTGCAGGATTCAAACCATAATTTGAATCATGGTTAATGATTCGTTACAGTGTTTTCTCTCACAAAAAATACACGTAAATAAAAAATAATTCTAATAACATGATTTTAATTCATGAATCAAACTTCTCCTAAATCTTTGGAGGTGGTAATGGTATACCTTTAATTCACCGACTTGAACCATGCCACCAATCGTGAAGGCTGAACCAGGCCTTCCAAATTTGGAAGTTTAATAAAGAAATAATTACACGGCAAAATTTCATACCTTAATTTAAAATTTAGCAAATTTTTTTTTAAATATTATAAATACAGTAAAATTTTCAAAATATAATAAATATAACAAAAATGACATAATGTTTATCATAATGATGCCATATTTTATATTATATGATGATATAGTTATTATTCTAATGATATCAAAATTTTATATTTTTGTAATATTTTAAAAATTTTGCTATATTTAATTTTAAATTCTATTATTGAAATTTGGCTAGACGCATAAAGAGCCATTTTCTTACTGGGCCTTAGGATCCAGTAACTTTCTATTGGGCTGAAAAAGTGAGAGCGTGGTTTGAAGTAGGCCAATAGCCCAAGAAGATGACTAACATGCTTGGTAACCATATCAAGCAGTGCAGTACGAAAGCTCACTGTTTTATTCTATTTTAAATCTGATTACATGGCAAGCAGCTCTAGTTTCTCTTCAATCCAAGCCTTTTATAAGTATAAGATTAATCACCAGCAAAAAAGATGATTGAGTTAATAATCTCTTCAATATGAGGATTCTAGAAGCATATACATACACACACACACACACACACACATATATATATATATATATATATATATATAATAGAATAGAATCGTGACTCGTGCTTGTATACAAGAGACGTGGACACAAATGCATCACCAATGCATGACGTTCTTGACTAATTCTTCTTCTTTGGGTGCTAATAATAAATAAATAAACAACAAGGATTGTTAATTTGTAAATTTAATCCGTCAGTCAAAGCCGGTTTGTCAAAGGAAAGCTTTAGATATATTGCGTATTCCATGATGCATGCTTGGGGTATTTGTGTGTTTTAACTAGACAAAAGCTCGTGCGTATTATATTATATAAAAAATTAGAAATTTTATAGCATATAAATTTTTATAATATAAATTCAAAATAGTGTAAATTGAACTCCAAATCAATTCAAAATAGTAAATAACCGTAACAAATAATAACATTTTTAAAAATGAACTGGAAATAGTTTGAAACTGTCCGATCAAAAATTTCGATGGATGTGATTCACAAGTGAAAAGCACGTGTAAGAGAAGTGCGTTCAGGGGGGGAAGAGGGCAGCTTCACAGTGGTGGGCCCGTCACTTTTTCAATCGGCCAGTCAGGCATCGACACGTGACAATCCTAGAACGAATGACGCAAAAGCCCATGCACATAGAAGGGAAAAGAGAAGGAAAAAATGGTAAAATTGACAATTCATACTCAAAAAACAAGAGACATAAACAAAATTTCGGGAATGTTATTGTACAATAAACAATAAAATATGAGTGTGTGAATAGTGAATCTTGGGTCTCTTTTAGTATATATAATAATATGTTAGAATGTTTGCTCCTCTCCAGTCTCCACGTTGCCATTTCCAGTGCCACATTAATGCTAATATATGTATTTGTTTCTAATTTGCATATACCTAAGTACTATGTCAATATCTAATCTTACGGCACTAACAAAGCTATTCATGCACAATGAAAATTTATCGTGGCTTACTAAATATGATATTTTTGTTTGAAATTATTATTATTATTATTAGTATTAGTAGTAGTAGTAGGATTATTATTACCGTTACCGCTGAAATTTAGAGTTATTTTCTAGTTTGTCTCGTGAGTTTTAAAAACTCTTATTTTGCCCTCTAAACTTTGAATTGTTCCCACTTAATTCTTTTTGTTCAAATTTCTATTAAAAACAGATAGAAAAAAAGGGAGTAATACAATTATGTGGTCTTTTTATATGAATTTATGTTAAGAACAAACACATAAAAACCACATGATCACATTTAATCACATCTTTTTTTCTCTGATTTTAATAGAAATTCTTATAAAAATACTTAAATAGCACAAATGCAAAATTTATGAAGTAAAGTGAGTTTTTAAAATTTATTAAGCAAAGTGAGAATGACCTCAGAGTTTTGGGACACTAGTGAGACTAATCCTTATTATTATAAGAAATTACGATTGTTCTGTTTCAAAGTTTATTTGAAATAAATATCTTAAATTAGAAAATTTTTTTAATTTTTATTTTTGTTAAAGATATGATTATATTTGGCAAATTATTGATTAATTTTGGTATAGGTCTACATTACTAATTTTAATAAATTATGTGTACATATTAGATTTAGACATTAGTAAGGGCCCGTTTGAGATTATTTGTGTTTGTGTTTTAAGTAGTAGAAGAAGATAAACATAAATTTAGACTTTTTAATTAATATTTGGATAGTGTCTTAAAAAATATTTTTATATTTAAGAAGAGTTTTTGAATCTATTAAATAAAAAAGTTAAAAATATTTATTATTATGAAAAGTAATATAATAAAAAGATTGATCATAAATCACTTTTAAAATAAATAAGTCAAAAATAACTTTTCTTTTAAATCAATCTAAACGGGCCATAAATTGCTTCTCAGCTCTTTGCAAAGTAGGCAGCATTTATTTAAAAAAAAAAAAAAAAAGGCAGTCATTGACTCATTGTGCTTAATTAATCAAAGGATTGGATGCCAAAAGAATCAAACGGAGTACAATTAGTTCGCTAAACAAAATGGTTTCTCCCCTCCTCCCAGTTTTGAATTAAAGGGCAATTGCCCGTAAGACTCAATAATCAAGAAAATGTGGGTTTCACGAATTTGGATCTGCCCCATAAGCTAATGTTTCTGGCAACTTTGCACTTTCACCATATGTGATTATATATTATTTAACTTCTCTTCCTGAGCATAACAAACTCAAAAAAAAAAAAAAAAGGAAAAAGAAAAATATCCCTTAAGAGTTATTAACAAATAAAGTGTCTGTTCAGTTCGTTGATTCGAATTAAAATGTGACTTTATATAAAAATTTTTTATTATAATAAAAAAACTCAAATTCTAAATTCGAATCAGCGTAACGAACGAGTCCGATAATTTTAAATTTCAAACCAAAACGCGGCTGTGGGCCTTCGCTGATGTGTAGCAATGTAGAGATGTTGACTTCAAATCTCTACTCCTCCACTCTCTCTACCTTGCTTTAAATTAAAATTAAAATACAATTTTACAACTTCATTGACTTACACACAGCTTTTAATTTCAAGATGGACTTTTGAATATCCATCATTCTACATTTCTACATTGAAATTTTCTTCTCTGGAAACATTATTAGGTTGAGTCTCACTTTGTTTCCTTTGGATTTTTTTTTTTTTTTTTTTTGCATAACAAATTTTAGTTTGTTAGATAAATGCTTGGTTTTCTGTTTCATTAGATCAGAACCGCTTGTGGCTTTGTACCAAATCTTCTCATCTCAGACATGTCTATCTTAAGCAAAAACAACTCTGAAAATTCCACACCTTTCTTCCATGAATTCAAGAAACAAGCTTCTTTCTTCCTTAAGGAGAAGATCAAGACTGCTAGATTGGCCCTCACAGATGTCACACCTACAGAGTTGTGAGTTTCTTATCTCTATTAAAAAAAAAAAAATCTTATCATGGATTTTTTAACCAATATTTATATATTTATTTATTTTTTTGTTGTTGTTCTTCAATGTCTGAAGATTGACTGAAGAAGCAACAAGTGGAAATCCATGGGCACCAGACACTCGGACCTTGGCTTCTATCTCAAGATCCGCTTTTGAGATTGATGATTATACGAGAATTGTGGAGATTTTGCATAAAAGGTTCTGAATCCTTTCTTATTTTATATATCTTTGAATTATATGTTCTTTTTTTCTTTTCCTTTTTTTGAATGATATTTCCTTTCATATTTTTGAAATTACGATGCTCAAGTAGTTCTCTGATAAAACAGATTGCTCAAGTTTGAGAAGAAAAACTGGAGGCTTTGTTACAACTCACTCATTGTCGTTGAGCACTTGTTGACTCATGGACCAGAGAGTGTTGCCGAGGAATTTCAGTGTGATAAAGATGTCATCAGACAGATGGAAAGCTTTCAGTACGTAGACGACAAAGGGTACGCAAATGTTAAATTATGGTATTTCTACCGCAGGACCTGTTATTTTTAGCTACACTAAGCATCGTTGTTTATTTGTGGTTGTACTAGTTTTACATCGCGAGTTGTAGATTTTTAGGCCCCGTTCATTTCAACCGATTCGAGTTTTGCTACAGTTAAAAACTCTCAGAAACAGTTATATTTAACTTTTTTATTATAATAAAAAATTTTCACATAAAGTCATATCTCAACTCGAATTAAAAACTCAAATCAGTCTAACCGTAGAAGTCTCCATGAAATTAAATCCTTTTTTTTTTTTTCTTGTTTGTTTGAAAGCATATTGAACATATTGATTGATATGCACAACACAGATTCAATTGGGGGCTTGCTGTGAGAAAGAAATCTGGGAGAGTATTGAAACTGCTAGAGAAAGGTCCTCTTCTTAAAGAAGAGAGAGATAAGTCTAGGAAGCTCAGCAGAGGGATTCAAGGTTTTGGAAGCTTCACACAAAGGTCATCGTCATCATCATCAACTTTAGCACAAGGCATTCTTAGGGAAAAAACATCACTGGGAAGGTCTCATTCTCAGTTCATCAGCCATGAGAATCAGCAAGAAAATAATCAACTCCCTTACAAGAAAGAAGATGGACTCTTCATCAAGACTGAGGAATCAAAGCCAATCAAAGGAATTGATATTTCTGTGTCTATCAAGAGAAGTGAGAGTTCCAGTTCTGAAAAGGCTGAAATCAGTGTCAAAGAAAACATGGATCCTGATGAGGAAGCGTTGCATGGGTGGGACCCCATTGGAGAGTCCACCAACTTGCTTTTAGATGGTAAAGATAGTACAGATGAGTCTAGAATTGGAACTTCAGCCGAACATGATCATCCCTTTAGTGACACAAACATTCAAAGTACTGCTTCCCTGCTTTCTGTAATGCAATGAAAGTTGAAAGATTTTTGTAAAGAAAAGATGTTGCTTTTTACTAGCCAAATAGCAGTGTAGGACCTATTTAGTCTCACTTTTTTGCTATGCGGCAGTTTGTCATGTATAATTTATTTTTTACCACATTGCAGATTCTCTTATCTATAGAGTGTTTTGTTTGTCCTTGTTATCAAATATCAAATATATCGGTATTTGAAATATAATGGCAGAGATCAAACCACCAAATCAAAAAAATTTAGTGCTATCATATAGCTTTGTATAAACTAAGTTCATGAGTTGGAGATAAGAGGACTACTAATCCCATGGGACCTGTGCACCGTGTTCTTCGAAGGTTTCCGACAAAGATCAGATGTGGCGACCCTCCTATGAGGCCGCCACTGTAACTTAAACTTTTAACTTGTACTTACTGGGATTTCTTAAAATTTGCGGAACATTTTTTTTTTTTTTTTTTAAACATAAGAAGGAATACTTTCATAATTCGTAACAATAATTTCAAAAGAATGAATCACTAAATTTCTTAAAGCTTTTCTTAATTTTAGTTAAGATAAAACCTTCTAGAAATATCCTTCAAACGGAGCAGCGTTTGAACTCATGTTTCAAATACTCTTTAAAATCCTTTCTAAAACTAGCCAATTCAATCGGGCCATCTCATTTGACTTTAAAATGGATTTCGTGAGAAATCTTAAATTCAAGTACATCTTAAAGTCCTTTTAAAATCAATCATTTAAATCGTATGTTTAAAAATTCATTTATTTGTTGCACGCACTATTGCAACGTTCTAAAACTTAAATACTCAAAACTAGGGTTGTTAGCTACAACCTCGGTTTTCTTAACATACATATGTACGTATACCT